ACATCCTTGAAAGAAGTAGATTTAATAGCTCTAAATTATTCCATTTAGCCACTGAAAAAGCACAGTACTGCTGGTGGCAACAGTTTCTTCATAATACCCAGGAGTGTTTCTGATTTTGGTGAGCCATGGCAACCCTCCCCCCACTGCCAACCAAAACCACCCTACAAAGAGTGGGCCTTGCCCATTTCAGCCTGCCTTCTGTGTTCAAATTAGGCAAGAATGTAGTAGTCTGTGGTCCCCGTTACTCACATTTTTTTCAGTTGCCTGAATGATACCAAGCTAACTACTAACACAACTGTGCAGACTGGCAAAGGCAAATCACAGCATTAGAGCAAGCCAAGATCAGACAATCATTTTTGGTATCATATTTCACCATTACTTTTTATTAGTTTCTCAACAAATTACTCTTTTTGGCCATTCTCATCTTGCTCCTTCTGCGTAAGATACTTCTTTAACCAAATCCCAGCAGCTAGCTCACTGAGAGGAAGCTTCTTAACACAGCAGGCAAAAGTGTCATCCCCCCAGAAAAAGCCTGCCACTTATCAGCACTGCATCTTATGCTATATGCTATGACGCGAGGGAAACAAATCTATTCTCATTAATCCTTTTTCTTTTGTACATCAACAGTTCTACTCCTTACCCTTGCTTCTATCTCAGGGCTGTGCCCTCATCACTACATAACATTTTGAAATTTTTTTTTTTTTTAACTTTTCAATGAAGTAAACAGTAAATTACTTATCTCAAGGGCTCTTGACTGTCAAGCAGATACGCACAGGCCTGAAGATCTCATAAATGTACTGCCTGGTTAACGTTCTTAGCATAGGCCTTTCTGAGATTTATTTTTTCATCTGCAACCAGCACTGACCTTATTGGTTCTCCTATATAATCTTGGAACTTCCAGTGCACTCTTCAGGTAAGCAAAGGAGGACTCACTGAGATCCTGGATAATCCTGTTATTCAAGGTAGGCACGCAGGCTGATAAAGAAGTCTTTGAGTCTTCCAAGGCTCCTATTGAAGTAGAAATGCTAAAGCTTAAACTGAGCTACCCTGCCCAATCACAATATAAATTATGTGAACCCCCCCACCATCCCAGTCTCACTCACTACCCAAGATGGATGCTGGTAACAAATACAGGATGCTTACTAAATAAAAACACATCAGCCGTTTAGAAAACACGTCCAGTAACGTCAACCATTCCTCAGCCAGAAAAACAGATGGAGGGAAGGAAAGAAAAAAGGGGTAAAGTAACATTCTCCAGGTTCACAGGTTTTTCAGTATTACCAATGTAGCAAAAGCCTTGAATCAAAAGGCTCTGAGCTATCAAGGAAACTGTAGTTGTGAAATTCTTTCTCATAGTACCTCAATTCCCTATGGAGTGACTGGATCATGCTCAACTCAAAGTTGTGGCTGACAACAGACCATCTACTGAGTGGGGGATGTACACAAGCTCCTACATCTCTTCTGGACAATAATCCCAATTTAGAGATTTAAGCAGAATTCACAGTGCAGAACTTCTGGCTATACTTGAAGACAGGGACTAGTTCACTCACCCAGCTACTACATGCCTGCCTTAAACTACTGAATTAAAATCAGACACCATGTTTCATACAAAGAATGATGAAAGAAAACTCAAAACCACCACAACCAGAAAAATATTTTAGTTTGAATTGGATAATGGAAAGTGTCTTTTTACTTCTTCCCCATTTCCTTTACGAGTAGATGTTTAAAGAATCTTCTAGTCTAAGGTCCCCCACCTACTGGAAAGGCATCCTAATTACTAGATAATGACAAGTTACTCAAAAAAAAAAAAAAAAAAAAAAAAAAAAAAAAAAAAAAAAAAGAGAAAAACAGAAAGAACCCACCTCCAAAAAAACCCAAAGCACTTCAGACTCACTCAATTTTAATCAACCTTTTCCAGACTCAACGTGCCTGTTCAAGATAGTTTATATTTAACAATCTACACCTAAAGCAGCTTCATTAAGTAATAAAAACATTAGTATTTTCAAATTTTTCATTGTAAAAAAATGAAACCGTGTGGAAAAGCTGATTTTGTTTGGTTGGCAGAAAGGATTTTGGAGAAAGGGGAAAGGAACTGAATTCAGTGTTTCAGCTTTACCTGCAATACAAGATACATTCTTGAAGCCAATCATTTCAAGTTTTGGTTTAATCATTTCTAAGATGTCAGGAATCTGAACAAAAAAAACAAAAGAGATACAGTCATGTTATAAACATATTTTAATTACTCTTCTACATTCTGTACGTTTCCAGTGCATCAAAAGACACCTTCAATCTTTTCTACATTTTTACTGCATTTATGGGAAATCAGTACTAGAAAAATACAATATTCACAGGAATTAAGGCCTATGCACTAAATCCCCTCCCTCGCTATTGTCCCCAGAGGAAATAATTTAGCACTAACAAAATATTATCAACCCAGATACAACTTCAAATATTACAGAAATTTCATCCTTATTGAACAAAAATATGCAGAAGTCATCCCCACTGAAAAAAAATTAATACCATACATCTCTTTTCAAGATTCTAGATCATTAGTAAAGTATAATCATGGTGATAAAACCTTTTCTCGACCTCAAAGACTAAAACCAGTAAGCATTTAAAAGAGAACATAATATTAAATCTGAATATTGCACCACACTCCAAGCGGCAACACAGATTTTACCAGCAAAGGTAAGACTCTGGGACAGCGATGCTTTGCACCAAAAATGAGCAGAAATATATTATTTTAGGGTTTAAGTCCAGCAGCTACTGATAAAAAGAGCTTAAATACCTGAAGATGTTTCTCTGTAATCTGCCATTCTAAATAAGCATAGAGTAGACCATTTATTTCAGGTAATATTTTCTATATCAGACGACTCTACTTTTAGCATTTAAGATAAAAAAAAAAAAAACCAAAAAACAGCTTTGTGGTACATATTTTAAACAATTTAATGTCCTTAACAAGATGCCAAACAATATTGGCACATAGACCAAGGAAAACTCTTTGTAAGTAAAGTCACAAGCACAAACCTGATCCTGGAGTTTGTCCAGATCTGCAGCAACATGTACCAGCTGAGTACTAGATATAGAAGGTAATGGCTGACTTTCTGGAGAAGACCCATTCCCTTGGTCCTCACCAGGGTTGAAGCTTACAGAAGATTCCTTTCTACCAACTGGCACAGATTTTTTGCTTTCTTTCGTGTTCTCACAGGAAATGGGCCTTTGAGAAACCTGAAACATCAAATTGAGATGTGAACCCTAGCAATAGTGAAGGTGGTTAAAGTTGGACAAACAGAAACAGTATATAAAGGATTTGTAAGTTTTCAGCAGTAGAATACCACATTTAAAAGGGATATTAGTATTCCTAAATTATGTTTAAAAGGATATCATTAAAACAGTTTTTGGTGCACTAAGGCGTTGGATGATTTGGAGCACATTTGTCACTACAGTAGAGGGCAGTCCAGTCCTAAAGCAATTTTCACCTGTGTGGTGTTCAAATGAACTTCTGCACTGGAGGAATGTGTAAGACCAAAAATTTGATCATTACCTGCTTCGCAGAAACACAGTTAACTTTCATATGCTGGAATACAAAAATCATAAGCACTTACTGCTGTCAAACAACCCCTTTCTCCCACCTCCTCAAGCCCTCTGCTATCAGGCACGTGCATCAGTCAAGTACTCTATTTTAACCCCGGTATTTATCAGCACTTTTCATGAGCCAATTTAGCTGAGAGAACTGAGTCATTCAGTCTTAAGAGAAGGATAAAGGGAGATCTTAGTGATGCCTTCAACTACCTAAGGGGCATGTATAAGGAAGATGGAACCACGCTTTTCCTTAAGGTACAGTGACAAAGTAAGAGGCAATGGAGACGGACTGTAGCAAGGGAAATCCTGATCAAATATGAGGAAAAAGTGGTCAGTCATTCAACCAAGGTTCCCAGAGAGGCGTGAAATTGCCAGCTTTGGATATACTCAAAATTCAACTTCTAAAGGCTCTGCATACCCTTATCTAAGCAAGCCCTGTTTTGAGCAGGAATTTGGACCAGATGAGCTCCAGAAATCTCTTTAAATCCCAATTATTCCATCATGCTGTCTTTCTATGACACAAGAAACAGGGGGAAACTTGTATGGCAGGGAGCAGAAGAGCAAAGCACAACCTCTCCTGCTCAGAAGCAGGGAATCATTGGTGTTGAGTCAGCTGCCCATGAAACTTGCAGTTCTACAGTCTCAACACTGAATAACTGATCCAGATTAACTCACCCTTTTTTTTATTTTATTTTACAGGGTTAGTTTTCACCTGGCTCAGTTTCACAACTTTGTTCACTGTATCAATGAGTGAACACACAAACAGAACGAAAACCAATTGCTTCTTTCAGTGACAGAGGCAGCCTTAAGCATACCTTGAAGTACAGCCTTGGCAACCATCAGACAGTAACACCACAGAAGTGGTATTTGTGGTTAATAACATATTTTGCAGTGATACTTTTTATAAAACAAACTCATGAACTGGTTGAAAGTGTTCTTGTTAAAGAATGCGAAGTTCAGAAAAAAAGCGCTTAAAAAGAGGTCACATACTTTGTTTCAAAAACGTCTCTTAGTGATGGACATACCCAATCATCAAAACCGTAAGCACGCTGTTCTCTTACCTCACCAATGAACACAGAGTAGCGTGCCAAAATCTGCAGACTAAGTTTCCACAGACGGTGTGCTAATAACGGTAAAAACATTTGATCTGACCAGCACTTCAGAAGACTCATCCAGACCATGTGAGTGGCCAAAAGACAATATGAGCTGCCAGCTAGAAACAATCAGACAAAGGTCAAGTTGAATCACATTTTTAAAAGATGTAACATCAGTGTAATTGCATTACCTGAGGTGTGTTTTTTTTTTTTAAAAAAAAAAAGTAAAAAAAAAAAAGGTCTTCCAAAGAGACAGTCACAAAGATAGCAAAGAGGATTTATTAAGCATTGTATGAAACAAACTCCTAAAATATTAGCTCCTCATTGCTTTAGATTTCAAATTCCACTAAGTCTTGCTGTAGCTGTGCATGCAAAAGCAACAAATGAGAATTTGCCTGCAACAAAGGCAGGAACAGCTTCGCCAAATAATCCACTTCAGGAGACAACGCTTTCAGGATAATTTTTGGCTGTCTTATGAAAGAAGTTATAGTAGACATGCTTGCGAGCCTTAACTGTAATGTTCCCTTAGCACTAAACTACTGCTCCTGCCACAGTTATATCTGAGATACTTGCTAGAAGTATTTATTTAAAACACAGTAAGAATATCCATACTGAAACCAAATACTTTTAAAGCAGTTCATGCACTAACATTTTATAGCATTCAACTTGAGAGCAAAAGGACATGCCATTCCAGGCAAACACCTTGAAGTGGCAGGATTTATGTATTTCATCTCCCTTAGGATTTTTTTTCTCCTTGCTCTCTTCAGAGAGCATGTGTGTATATATACACAGACACACATATTTATGTTGCTCTTAGCTGCCTTCTTCATAAATATTTACTGTGTTAACTGAAGTAAGTTTTTCTAACTACAAGCTACTTCTTAAGAATATACCAGGTTTTCCCTTCCACTCTAAACCTTCCTGCACACACCTCCTCATCTGTCACTAAATCAATGCATGTTTTTGGAACAGACACCAACACGATAAACCATAGCAAGCCTAACTGCTGCCAACAGATAGCCATTTTTCGCCTTTCCGTAGCCCTACAATAATAAAAAAAATATGCCCCAATAACACAGCATAACCTTTTGGTTGGCACTTAGAGGATGCCAAATGCCAATTTAGTTCCTTCTTGCACTGAGGGAAAAGTTCCACAAATATGTTAATGGCTGCTGCAAAAAGGGCTGCTTTTAGTAACTAAAGTGATCACCGAACAGTACTCTCATATTGCCTTCTCTATAAAAATGTATTCTACTATTTAATCAGTCCATCAGACAACAGAAAGCTCATGTGAACCTGTGGGATGCATGTTACTAATAGTCAATAGACAAACGGTAATCACTGCTACTTGCACCACTGATTCCTTCACAATAAATAAATCATTTTTTGCAATAGAAGTTTACCTGGGGCTTCCTCTAGTGTATCTGAAAGTGCTTCTTCTAAGGCTCCTGCTATTTCTCTGAATCTAAGAGACAGAAACATTTTGAATATTACAATTCAAAAATTGCTTAAATTTATGTCTAAACATTTTTTCAATGTTTATTTCAATATTATTCCAATGAGTTATCAATGCACATACACAGATTTTAATGTGGGGTTATTTTTGCCCAGCATAAATTGGGATATAAATCAGACCAACATTCAAACACTTGAAAGAGAACCTTTGACATTTTACAGGCAGATATGAAGCTTATACTTTGGGGAAATGATTAAAGTCACAGTTGTAAACATTATGAAAATGATAGCTCACAGTGTCAACTCCTCAGCTGTTTTGAGGAGTGAAGTTTTTTGTTTTGTTACTGTTTTTAAACTAAAACTGAACACATTGTCTCATAATTGCTTTAGCTGACCTTCAGATATGTCATGTGACACTGGAGGCTTCAGCTTTTTACATGTTTGTCAATGAACAGCGGCATAAAGTTCTGCAAACAATTCTGTACCTGATAAAAATCAATAGTTCATAGAATCATAGAATGATTTAGGTTAGAAGGGACCTTGAAGATCATCTAGTTCCAACCCTCCACGGGCAGGGACACCTCCCACTAGACCAGGTTGCCCAAGGCCATGTCCAGCCTGGCCTTGAACACCTCCAGGGATGGAGCTTCCACAACTTCTCCAGGCAACCTGTTCCAGTGTCTCACAGGATGCCTTAACTCCCGTTTTAAAAATTCACCTTCACAAAAGTAAGAAAAATCCCCCCCCGCTTTTGGGGGATAACAGCAAAGTTAATATTAAAACCTCTGATGTTTATCCAATATGCTTTAAATATGGAAAAGTAACATAGCATTCCCCTCATCTAAAAATCATCAAGCAAGAGCTGTAGAAGATTCTTCTTTAATCAGGTTTTCCCTCTAAATGTGGAAACAAAGCTGCAATTTTAAGCTCCCCTATAGAGAATTCTACTGTCATTGTTTTCCCCTTTCTTGCTTTTATGTGCATCATAGTAATTCTGTAAGCTTTTCTATCAAACTTACCAATTATGAACCTGTAAGACTCCTCTTAAAGTCTCTTAACTGTCATTTCCAGATCAGAACAGGGGCCCACCTACCTTTTCTTGTTCAAACTCCTAATGGATTAGATGCATGTTTAGCAACTAAACATATTTTAGAAATATTTGTGAAATGGCTTCAAATCCTTGCTCCTGCCTGTGCACCACCTCCACTGACAGAGCAGTGTCTTTAAGTCTTATGGTGAAAAGGATTAGAAAATGGAATCAGATTTTTAACAATGACATAATTTTTGCTGAATGTTTCTTACATAGGAAAAAAGTTTCCCCAGTGTGG